AACAAGTGATCCAAAATCAGTGGCGAGAAGGGTGTAAGAGGCCTGGTAGGGCTTGATCAAGGGCAATGTAACCGAGAGGAATTACTGAAATCCAAATGAAGGCTGAGATGCTTTCTTAATGTACAATTGCCCTTTATACAAAACTCTCTTAAACACCTATGAGTCAAAACTCTCTCTTAAACACCTATGAGTCTCCCTGGATTTGTTTCTCTAGTCTACCTGGACTAACACACACCTAGCTACCATTTAGCTTATTGCTCTCCCTTCCTTCTCCATCCCTGGTAGCCATCAAAGTCTTTCATTTGGCATGAAAAATGTTGTCTTGAGTTTTCTTTTAGAACAATGATCTCATACAATATGTGTCCTTTTGTGACCCACTAACTTTGCTGACTGACTTCATAATGTCATCCATGTCTTGAAGTGTTTCACAGTTTCATCATCATTGTTTAATCATACATAGTATATTCCCTAATGTGTGTGCCAACATCTGTTTATGAGTTCTCCCACTGATCAGCATTTACGTGTTTTCTATCTATTGTGACGAGCACCACAGTTAACATGAGTGTGCATATATCTGTTACCAAATAAAAGGATTGCTGGGCCATATGGTATTTCCATTCCCAGTTGTTCGAAGAAGTGCCCTGCCACTTTTTTGCAGTGGTTGCACAGCTTGACAGCCCCACCAGCAGTGTCCAAGGGTTCTAATCTCTCCACACCCTCTGAGCATTTGTTCTTGTCTGTTGTGTTTTGTTTCCACTTCGTTATCAATGGTGGTGTGAAGTAGTATGTCGCTGATGCTTTGATTTGCATCTCTCAGCTGACTAGTGATTGTGAACATTTCTTCATGTTTGTTGGCTGCCTGGTTGTCTTCTTTGATGAACTGTCTGTTCTTGACCCCTACCTACTTTTTTAATTGGATTATTCATCTTTTTCTTGTTGGAGTGTTGAATTTTCTATAGATTTTGTCCAGTGGATCATTACCAGAAAATTTTTCCCGGTCCGTTATCTTTTTAGTCTTTAGATGAGAAGAAGTCTTTTGATACATCCAAGTGCCTTATTTTTAGAAGGTCCCAGTCATCCATTTTTCTTCTGCATGATTTTTCTTATTTTACCGCTGTGGTTATATTTGATAGTGGGTTTTAAAAAAATAAATACTTCTATTGGGGCTCATACATCTCTTATCACAATCCATACATTCATCCAGTATGTCAAGCACATTTGCACAAATGCCGCCGTCATTTTCAAAGCATTCTCTTCCCACTTGAGTCCCTGATATCACTTCCCCATTTCCTCCTCCTCCCTCCCCCGCCCTCCCTCCCTCATGAACCCTTGATAAGTTATAGATCATTATTTTCATATCTTGCATCATGCTCCGTCACCCCTCACCCACTTTTCTGTTGTTTGTTCCCCTGGGAGGGGTTTATAGTTTTATCCTTGTGATCAATTCCCCTTTTCTCCCCCCACCTTCTCCTAATCCTCCTGGTATCTCTAGTAGCCGCTGTTTTCTCAATGATTATGTGTATAATTCTAAGGATTACATTTATGTTTTTAATCCTTCTTGGGTTTCTTTGTACGAAGTAAGGTGTGGGTTCTGATTCATTCCTCTCCAAGTGGAAATCCAGTTTTGCCAGCATTACTTGTTGAAGAGATTACCTCCTATTTAATGTCTAGCATCCCTTTGTTGAAAATCTGTTGTCTTTACATATTTCTGGGGGCACTGTTTTGTCCATTGGTCTACTTAGCTTTCATTGTACCGGTGAGTACCAGGCTGTTTTGACTGCTATGGCTGTGTAGTAGGTTTTTGAGGCTGAAAAGTGAGAGATACCCTACTTTGTTATTGTTGTTCTTTTTTTTAAACAATTCTGTAAAGTTTATTCCAGCTATAACATAGCAGGTTATTCTGACTGTAAGGTAGCATCATATAGCAAACTTTTGAGTCCATTCCCGAGAGACTCTGTTGTACTAATCTCTGTTTTAGAAATCTGTAAGGTCTCTGGCACTAGGGGGTCATCTGGGTTTGGGTACAATATCAGTAGACAAATGGATAAAAAACCTTTAGAGATAGTTAACAGTAGGAGGCCACGGTGATCTTAGAATAGCAAGACAAATGCTGCCATTACTGTTAATATTTGGATGATAAATTCTTGCTATAAACGCAACCTTAGGTGGTTTGAAGGGGTAGTCTGTACGAAAAGGAATTGTCAAAAAGAATACAACACTTTGATATGGCTGTCATTAGCCATCATTGTGGCTTGCCAAGGAAACATACCAAGTGGACCTCCAAAACATTGTGCTGGAGGATCATGGGCCAAATCACTAAGTTTTTTATTAATCCTTTTCAGCATCATAGTCTGGGTTTTGTCTGGCTCCACCCTATCTCAGTGTACGGAGGAGGAATCCAAGGTCACAACTCAAGGGAAGCCCCAGATCCTCAGCACCTGTGTCTGGCAGAGACGGTGTGTGATGAAGAGCCGATCCTTCCTCACCCCTAGATAATCAAAAGAGTTTTAGCTGGACTGCTGAGCATACACTGAGACATAGTCATAAAATGTCCACTCTTTGTTCTTCTTCTTAAATTAGTACTTTGCTTTATCAGGGAATAATTTTTATTTAGATTTTAAAAATTACCTCAGGGCAATGGTATCTGGGTATTCTCTAGCATCTATGGCTTTAGAGAATTAAGACCACGAGGATTTAAAATCTTTTCTGATCTCCCCCCCCCCCTTATTTTGAGTTTAAATGCCTTTTATTTTTGCACAACCTATACGACATGTTTTTTTCCCCTCTTGAAAAAACAAATGCCTCCACTCCACATAAATCAAGGTCAAAAGTAAATGAAGAGCTCACGATGACATCATTTCCGATGACATCATTTCCGCTTGTCTAAGTCCTGGTGTCGTGTGGATGGACAACAGCCGGTTAGGGTGAGAGGCAGCGGTCGTGAGTTGCCCACTGTGTTAACATGTCTCCATCTCTCAGCCATCCTTAAAGGAGATCATATACAGGGTCGCACCATCCAGCAGAGCAACCACGCCATCTGGATGTGTGTTCTCACCAATAAAGAACCGGTAGTTTTCGAAATGTGCAAGGATGTGCTTGATTTGTTCTGTGGCCCCTGTCATAAAAGGCTTTACTCTTTCTGGTTTCTACTCTTCCAGTTTACTTTTTATTGACTTCGTGTAGTCTTTGATGTACTTGTTGTAGGCTTCTTTTGTGAAGCTGGTTTTCTGCAAGTGATGGTTCATGACAATATCAACACCAGTGATCACTGTGCTTTCTGTTCCGTCGCCATCAGCTGAGACATTGCCACCAATGAGCGAGTCATCGATGTGACCTTCGGTCCTACTGACCATCTTCCTCTCCACTTCCAGACACAGCCCGTCTGCAATCTCCTGGGTCTTGTAGATGTCGGAGAACATCTCTTCTTGGCTGATAAGGTCCCGGTAGAATCTACCGGGTAGATCATGATGGTGGCTATTGGGAGACAGCTGCAGCGCTAGCTTAGTGGGAACCCGGACCTCTGAGCAAGCGGGGTGCAGCCAGAGCGGTGCTTGGGGGAAGGGGGGAACTGGTGGAAAGGCGCATTTTTCGCCTTTTGATGACTAGAAGTCTTATATAGAATCTTGTATCAAAATGTTCAATAAAGTTAGCCAGACACCATCCAACTCTTCTGCCATCATGGCAAAAGATGCAATTATTCATGGAGTCAGCTGGCCACCCATTGCATTCTTTTCCTCTGATTCCAGACTCTCCTGTGTCCGCTATTGCTCTTGACAAATAGAGGCCACTTACTGTGCTTTAGATGGCCATTTACACGCTTTAAGGACCAAGAACTACTCAGTAAACTTGGAGGTAGAACAGAAGCACTAAGTAAGTTTTTAGGCTAGTTGGTAGCTTGTCTTTTCACTTCCGTTGGTAAAGTCTTTTGATGAACAAAACTTTTTAATTTTTACAAAGTCTTATTTATTCTTAATATTTGGAATGATAGCATAATCCATCAATATTGTACCCTAATCTGTTTTCTCATTTGTGATTATTTTAAATTTGTTTCTTTTTTATTTGTGGGTAACTATTGAGCACCCCTATAGTAGAGATTTTTTTCCTTCTGTTGTATTTTCTTGGGATACACTTCCAGGAATATATTATTAGATGAAAGAAAGGGGCTTGAACAGTTTTATGACCTTGATACATAAAGGTACACAAAAAGGTGCTTCAAACAGTTGTGAAAAAATTTCAGTGTCTTTTAAAGGAGAAGGGGTATTTTGAACACTTAGCAAGAGTCTGGCAGCCATGGTGAAATAAGTAGAAATGGGTGGAGGGTGGGTGTAACACTAGAGTAAGGAAGACCAACTAGGATGATAAAGTTAGCTCAAAAATGAATGCCTGGAATATAGGGTAGTTTAGTGTGGTTCAGAAGGAAATGGATAAGTTGGACATTTTGAGGGGAAAAAATGATAGAACTTAGTGACTGGATATAAAATAAAGCATGAAGGACACAAAATAACTTCAAGATTTCTAGCTTGAGATATGAGAAATCAAGAATATTTTGCCTGAAGGAAAAGAGGTTTTCTAGTTCGTTTTTAAATATTACAGGAACGAAGACTCAACATCCATGTAGAAATGCTTCTCTGTAGTAACTTTAAAGGGTAACTGAGCAGGAACAATAAGGAGAGAATGATGCTGTGTTTGATGATGCCAGACATATTATAAAAAAGTGTAATTGAGAGAAATGAAAGTGTTTTTTTTTTTTCAGTTGATAGTTGTGGGTGGCACTATAGAGGTATATCTCTTATAGAAAAACTTAACAAAATAAACATAGCTATATTCATCTATATTTTGGAAACTCATCATACTGGAGCAGTATGTTGTTGAATTCTAAATTGATTGACGTATTCTTTGTGGTCACTTCCATATCTAAGATTCTGATTTAATCTGTTAGCTCTGAACAGCATGTGATATCTGAATGATTTAATGAATGTTGTTTTATTTTGCCCCCTCAGTGTAGCGTTCTTCAGAGTCTGAAAGACCTACTGCAGAATTGGCTATTGTGGTTTTCCATGGATGTCAACATGAAAGTTTTGTCGAACAGTCTTCTGTGAGTTATCTTAGAACCTACCACAAGAAATGTACAAACTATTTCCATATGGAATTGTATAGTGTGATATGAGAACTAGTTATTTCACCAGAATGAATTTTACTTACACGTATATATAAAGCCAATTTTGATAGTGATTAGGGCATCGTTAAGATAATTTTGCTATATAGTTTTGTTTTCTATGATCCTTAAGTATTTAATTTGGTTATATACATATTTTACCTTCTGTGTAAAATAAGAGCCCTAATTTTCTATTAAGTGTTTCTATTATTAAATGTGTGCTTTACACTCAAAATAAAAGAATTTCAAGGAATTGCATAATTAGGTTTTATATATTTTTCCTCTTTACCTAAAATCTTTGACTTCTATATTCTGGTGTCAGCCAAGATTGTTTTGTAGCATTGATTTTTAACTTTATACTATGGAATATTGAAAACATTGAAAAATGAATAGTTTAATATTATTTTCACTTACAGGTCATCTAGCTTCAACAGTTACCAACTTATGCTTACTCTTGTGTCTTTGATAACAGCCACACCTTTTCTTCTATCTTGAGATTATTATTAAGCCAAGCCCATACTTTTCATTTATAAAAAAGGTAACATTCTAACAGCTAAAAATGTATTAGCTCTTAATATCTTCAAATGTCTGATTAATGGTCAGACTCGTTCTCTGTTATCAGCCACACCTTACTTTATAATTACAATTATAAGGATTCCTTAGCTTCAATTGTAAATAGCTGGTAGTTAGCCTAGTTAAAAGATTACTTCAGACTTGTTTTTCCAAAGTTCTCATTTATTTGGTGATCTACTATAGTAGGAGAATGGGGAGTAGAAGCTTTCTAAGAAGGTAGCCTGGAAAATTTCTTTTAATTCTTCCTAGTCATCATTACAATGCTTTTAGGTCTGTCTGTTCACTTTTAGAAGGAAATGGAGAATCAGTGGTCGGGGAAGTATATCTTATAAAGCTGTGGTTCTCAAAGTGTTGTCCCTGACCCAACAGTGCCACTTGAAAATGTGTTCAAAATGCAAATTCTCAGGCCCTGTCCCAGACCTACTGAATTAAACTCTGGAAAACTTCGGGTAATTCTGGTGCAAACTAAACTTTGAGAATCACTTTTATAAAGAAATTCCATTTAAATGTTTAACCTCTTACAAGTGCATTCAATTAAGAAGAATCTGTTTGCATTTATAATCTTTAGACAAATTGGAATTTAAGTCTTTGATATCCCAGAAATAGGTTGCTTTCAATTTTTATTTTTTTGGTTAAAAATTCCTAAGATCATTCTTTTTATTCGTGGAATAATTTTTCTTGGAAGGGGGAAAGAAATTGTAAAAGGAACTGTGCTTTCTAAATGATAAAAATGTAGAAAACTTTGCTGTATGAATATATTATATTAATACTTGGCATTACATAATATAGTTGTTATATTTTCAATAATTCCTTCTATTTCTGAGAGATGATTGTAATGCCATATCTCCCCACAGTGATTCTCCAGGTTGGCACAGCGACTGGGAAGAGAATAACACCCTCATTTCATAAATGTGAGCCAGAGAGGCTATAGATGCTGTAGTGGATGGAGACAAGGAGAGGCAGTCCTGAACAGTGGATTATTTCGTCCAAAATGTAGTTCTGTGAAGAAAAAATGTTAAAAGAGACAACCAGCATGTTTGCATATTATTGCAGATGTATTTGCTAAGTGCTATGAAATATTATAGTTAAAATATAGTTTTGCACATAGCTACCGATTATATGGATGCCCACTTTTTTGATGGTTTCTTAATCCTTCTCTGTATGCTTTGATGCAGAACCTTGATACTAGCGGGTAGTGGTAGAGTCCTCATTCCAAAGCTCTCAAGAATAACTGTAGCTATATATGTATATATATCATTTATTTTCCTTGTTCATAGCCATTGTTAGCTACCTCAATAGAAGGGCAAATTTATGAAAGTAGATAATCATATCTGCAGGTACACCCTTTTCTAGCGCACTTAACAGTGATTTCAAGAAGGATAGGGGTGGATTGAAGGGTGGATAGATTAAGCCAATTGTGCATAGGTCTAGTTAAAAAGACTCAGTCCATTGTATTTTGAAATAATATAAAATATCCAGACCTCATTTTACTTTGAAGAATGAAAGATGCCAAAATTTTCCTAAATCAGTTTTAGGACTGGATTGAATTAAATTTAAAATGCAAGTACGTTAGCATTTTGGGGTTTTTTTTATGTGACTATTTTATCTGAAGAATACAGGTAAAACTGAGTTTTGGTTCGTGTGCTTTGTTACAATAAATGGGGCTCTAATGTTTTTGGCATAGGAAGTAATTTCCAAATTCATCTAATGGTTTATCCTTTCAACCAGTATGTGGTTTGGTTGAAATTAGTTATAATTTTTTTCTAGTTTATTATTTTTTACCTTTGTAGATTCTATTCTCAGCCCACCCCAGCCCCCAATTTGGCAATGGAATACCCATTTTCTAGTGTTTTTTATATGCCTGCATCACTCCATGGTTTCCATAATTGAGGATTGTTAGAGTTCAGTGCTTATCAATTATTAGATACTAATAATGTGGTGACTGCTATTGTCTCTAGAAGGGCCCCAGAGGCACAGTGGTTAAATGCCTGGCTGCTAACCAAATGGTTAGTGATTTGAACCCACCAGCTGCTCTTGGAGAAAAATATGGCGGTCTGTTTCTGTAACAGTTATAGCCTCTGCAACCCTCTGAGGCACTTCTGCTCTGTCCTACAAGGTCACTATTAGTCAGAATGTAATCGATAGCAGCGGGGATACCTGGGCATTAACATTGTAAATCTGTGTTGAAATTAATTAAAGGATTAATTTCTCCCTCTGATATTTACTAGGAAAATGGGATTGGCAAACATTTTCTTAGACTCAGTCTCTGGTTTCCTAGAGGGCTGAATACAGTTTGAAGCTTACCTCACTGCTGCTTTAAAATAACATTGTGTATTGGCACACTAATAGGAGTTTTCTGCAATACCTCTCAACTCTTTGCTATATCACAGTTTTAGTGAATAATTTTGCTTATATCAATCGGAATGTCATGTGTTCTTCTTACAGAGAGACAACTATAGGTGAATCCGCAAACTCTGTGTTGAAACTGATTCACTATGTAGGGTGGTTGTCCACTAATGGATTGCGCTTGGAGAGGAACCATCCTTTCCTGATGCATTTTATTTTGGATTTCTATGAGAAGGTACTACCTGACCCATTTTCCCCTACTTAGATATTTTTGTGATGACTGTCCATTGTAGTGGCCTATTTAAATTTTATGGGTAGTCATTAAGTTGCCTGTGGCCTTATTAACATATAAAATAAGGTATAGTTAAGGTAATTGTATACCTGCTTGGGTAATTGACTTTCATAAAACAAAGTAGACCAATAATTTTAAAAAAACATATGGTCCATGTACTACTTTAAGGGACATTCACCTATAATAATGTAATAAATCTGATCCTAGATAGAAATCTGTCTTCTGGTGTTAGTTTTTGTTCATCTATTATATATCCCCGGCCCCAGACAAAACCAAAACAATTTTACCATGTTGTCTCTTCAGCTCTCCACTCTCATCTTCCAACTGTCTTCTGTTACCTGGTAACTTAGTGTTTTGTTCCTCTCTACTGTCTTACACTATTCAACCTGGACAGAACTAATATCCAGGAACTACCCACTAATCTCAATTTCCATGGCTACTTCCTTTCACTAATACTTAGTAGCTTACTCCTTTGCTTTTCAGCTGGACTGACATTGTAAATGTTTATACTTTTCTTTTCCTTGTCCCCCTAATTCTAAGCCCTATCCCCAGAAAATAATAAAAGATCTTCATAATGGTCTTTGAGTACTAACGTTCTCTGGTAAAGATTGGTGTTTGGTGAGAGGTGCATGTGTGTTTAAATACATGTTTTGGTGAGGTTCGTTGTATTTACATTTTGAAGGTGTGAAGACATTTTGTTCTGTTGGACTTAGAGTTGCTATGAGTCGGGACTGACTTGATGGCACCTAACAACAGCAACAGCATGTTAGAGGGCCAAGCTAGTCACAGCTCTAGTCAGAGGGCATGAGTGAGGTGGACTTTTAAACAGGTTTCTGACTTTTTTCTGTTTGTGAATTGGGCAGGCCCTAACCTGATGCTCTACTGCTGGTTAACTTACACTTGTGATTCTTTAGGTGAACTTGGTTGGGAGATTCAGGGGAATAATCTGTACTAATGTTACCATTCTTCCCTCAAGGTATGTGACATATATCTAAATTATAATATTCCAATATTGGAAATATTTCCTCTGGGAATTTTCTACCCTGCACTCTTCAGCCTGGATGCCTGTACTTTTAACCAACTCTGTTACATTATGCACAGGTATAAATCCTTTTTTTAAAGCCATTTTATGAATTAGTACATGATAGCTCTATCTTCATTTTTCAACTATAACACAATAAAACTCCCTTTTTATTTTCTGCCAAGATCTATGGAAATAGAAAAGATAGCTTTATTTGAGGATCACTGTATCTTTTATAAAATATCACTATGGGGAATATGGAATAAAAATTTAGTAAAGGATCTTTTGCTGCACTCCGCATCAGTTATTGTAATAATTGTGTGTTATAGAAAATTTTTTTCCAAAGAAAAATTAGTCATTTGCCGGCAACTGATTTAGGTATATATAGCTTCTCTGATAAAATCACTATTTTCTGAGAGATAAGGAAAGCTATTGCCAATCATATAAAATTGTCAGCATTAATTCTGATCCCCTCTAATTCTTAAAATTGTGGACTAAAGTTACTCTTCAGGCCACAAATGTAGATCCCATTGGCATAACTTGTGTGACTATCACAAAGTTAAAATGTTTAAAATCTAATTAGATTATAGTTGGCAGGCAAGAAAACTCGGCATTTCTAAGCTTTCCATTCCTTTCTGCCACACTGCTTTTCTCTCACATAAAGGAATGATGTTCTAGCTAAGTGCATGACTGTTCTTGGGAGTCTTTTGCATTTTTTGCTAAGAAAACATTAAAAGCATTTTCTTCTTTTTTTTTTTGCTTTTGCTTGAAGTATAATTTGCCTATAATCAGGTGCACATTTTAAATGTAGAATGCTGATATGAACCACCGTTAATTTTTGTCCAAAGTGAAAACCTTCATTAGACCGCTGGCTATTTATTTATTTATATATCTAATATTTTCACATGTTTACATTTAAAACAGAAACTTATTTTGTGCACGTTGTAAATTTCAATTTTGTTGTATTTGTTCTTCCTGTTAGGTATCACCAAAACTTGACTGCTGTAAAGAAAAATGAATTTGTAAAGAAGGTAAGGATTTAAATCCCTGTGTTAAATCACCACTGTTTAAAACTTGGGTATAGAAAACCAATCTGTAAGCAGTTGGACATCCCCCTACAGAAGGGTCATGGGGAGAAGATGAGTCAGTCAGGGTGTAGCATAGCATCAGTGAAACATACACCTTTCCTCCAGTTCTTTAATGCTTCCTCCACCACCACCCCCAACTCTCATGACCCTAATTCTACCTTACAAATCTGGCTGGAACAGAGCATGTACATGGGTACAGATCAGAACTTGGCACACAGGGAATACAGGACAGATAAACTCCTCGGGACCAATATTGAGAGTAGCCATACCAAGAGGGTAAGGGGAAAGTGGGGGGAGAAAGGGAGAACCAACCACAATGACCTACCTATAACCCCCTCCCAGGGGGATGGACAACAGACAAGGGGGTTGTATTAGTCTAGGTACTTTGGAGAAACAAATCCACAGCAACTCACGTATGAGAGAGTTTTATGCAAAGAAAATGTGCATCACGAAAACATCCCAACCCAATGCTGCCCAAGCCCACAAGTCCAACATTAACCCATACCCAA